GTGATTAAAGAACAAGTCTCCTCAAGTATGAGGTGTCCAAGCAGGATGTGGCTTTATGCAACCAAATTTGACTTATTCCTTATCTTATATGGAGCCATATTGACTTAGATGATGCATATCTATCCTGTATAAAGTGCTAAGAGTTTAGAAGATGTCCTGGAGGCTTTAAAGTTGAAGGAATTAGATGTTAGAGTGATGAGTCATCACATGTTAAGTATGAGGTGTCTTTTTTTAGTTACATTCTGTTTCTGTACTTATCGTTGGAGGATTTACATGAAACTTAGGGATAATATACCACGTATAGGAATTCTTAAAGGAGTGGTAGATGTGACTAATGCTTAAAGGTGAAGGAACTGACCATTGCAAGGACAAATCAATAGGCATGAGGTACATAAGCACGAGGTGGTCTGTTGTGGTTAAAATCTGATTTTGTACCAATCCTTGCAGGTATAAATCAAGTATCCCAAATTTGTTTTAATGCTTTTAAAATCCACTTTACATGCCATAAGATCCCAAAATATATTATAGAGTCAATTCTTTAACCGCTCATTGTATTACGTGCTCGATAGATACCCGATTCTCGATCAATTTCAACAATTCGCAAATCAATATTTATGACGTCATATGAAACATATACTATTGCATCGTGAGCATATCACTTCATGCCTCATGTTCCAATATGTCAATTACCCATCTAGCGTTAATGTGACCTTAATCAACCGAATGGAAAGTTTGAACTTTTGTCGGTACTAATTGTGGCCTTTTTGATACTCCCATTGCTTACCAAGTCAATCTCCAACATATGGATTAACCTAATTTTCTATCATAGCTCAATGTAAAATTCACCACCTAGGTCAAGGAGTCGAAAAATAAAATCTTTAAACTTCAATCATCAAATTCACTATTTGAAGAGAAAGCAATTAGGAAAAATTGATGCAAATGACATTATAAATATCATGAAATGCATGAATCATATTGACCAAATGTGTAATGTGAAGTTCAAGATATTACACAGACACTCAAATTGTTAATTAGAGGATCATTCACTTTCACGGTCACAAGAAAATCAACATTCACTGTATTCCACAAAAATCAATTTGTAACAATTTTTGTATTTTTAGACACAAAATTACCATACACTGACAAGAAATCTACTGCTAAAAAACTTCTATCAACAACAATGTACGGGACACTGATCGTCCCACAATATTTACTAGGTCAAATAATTCCACTTTATGATATATTCGAGTCGGTGAAAAACTCTTGATAAACGTGTTCCCACTCACCACCAAGATTGACCCCTTCGGTTTATTAAATTAATTATTTATTGAATTAACAAAAGCTTGAGGAGTAATAAAATAAAATATTCCAGAAGCAATGGAGTGAAAGAAAACGAGCAAAGACCATTGACTTTTGACAATATATAGAATATATTTTTGGTGTACTGCAACAATAGAAAATATTAGGATTCAAAACGTAAGACGGAAGACTCGCGTGTTTTCTATTTCTACAAAAAGTTAGTCCATGATTTATTCAATTTAAAAATAATAATAACAATAATAATTTAAGTCAAAGACGGCAATTTCCATAATTTTTCAACAACACATTATATTAACTTTTAATAAAATATACTAAAAATCTGATTTTTATTTAAACTAGACAGGGTTAATAGTTTTGTTAGAGGTTTCCTAGTCTGAAAAATGAGTTGGACATTCTATGTGATGCTTTGTCCCCGTTTGGCCTATTTCCCTGACATTCATTTTATCGTAAATTTAGCCCTTTTTGAGTTACATTATTTTTATAAGAATGCATTTTTGAATTGTATGCTGATGAAAAATGGGTGATTAAAAAATAAGAAAAAATTGTGGATTTACATGTAGTATTATTTTATTAAAAAATGTGTATTTGAAATGATATCAAATCACTGTTTAAGAATGTATTTCTTCGAAAGAATGTGGGTTAAATAAGGCCTTATAATCAATTACACATCTTAAAATGGGATCTCGAATTTTTATCAATTTTTCAATATATATTTCATTAAATTTTATCAAAAAAATACTAATTTTTTATCTGATCAGGGCTTTGGTCTCCCTTTGACCCTTTGAATAAAATATGAAACACAATAAAATGGATTTGTCCACCCCAAGGATCACCTTCAAGGATGTCTGTATTTGTCCATGTATGTAGGAGTCTTACGCGTGGATGTGAGTGGAAATGAGATTTTTTGGATACATCACAATGGTTATTGTTTTGTGCTTTTTAATTATATTTTACATATTTTTTATTTTTAAATTATATTTAATTATATTCCTTTCCAAGTGCATGTTTGAGGACGCTAATGATTTGACTCATCCGAGCTTTGATCGTATAGATCTCCTATCTCAATTGAACAATCACGCAACAAATCTTAAGGTGCGTTTGCGATTTACTGAATGCAGGCGCTTACATATCATACAGATATCCTATTGTCTTTTTTGATATGCTTGTAGTCATCGCAAGCTCTATATTTGAAGATTCAACAAATTCACTAGTTACTAGTGGTTTAAAGCATTGAAAAGCGGTTTGACAAATGCACTTTTAGAAGGCCAAACGCACTTGTGGGTTGCAATCCAAAGAAGTATGTATTTGTAGAAAAATAAATTTGTAAAATTGTTCAAGAGAGACTCCAATTCGAAATTTTAGTAGTTTTAATGTTTTAAGAGAAATTTCAATTTGGAGCTTTTTCGAAAATCTTCATAGAATGCTGAAATTTACAATACTTATATTTATTAATTATTCTAAAATATTAAATATATCTAATTTTTCAACTTATCAATTTATGTATAATTGAAAGACTATTTTTAAAAGGTTAATATCAAATTTTTTTTTTCATTTTTTAGTGCCCAAGTATTTTTAAAAATGAAACTGAAGATGAAGTTAAAAAAAAATGAAATTTAATGTGTTACAAGAAATTATGATATTTCATACTTTTACGATGTTTCACATATGAATGAATGCGTGAAACTTAATACAATTTATACTAAAAATAATAATATGTAAATTAGTAAGTCAATTTTTTCCCTAATTATGCTATCAAAAGTCAATTTAGTGTTCATAATATTTTTTCGTTGACAATCAAACAATCATTTACTTTTTCATAAAATCTTTTAAAAAAATTCTACTAACAAAAAAAATTGCTATTAAAGACTCTAATTACAACCAGAGTACCAAACGGTCTAAGTCTGTCATTTGTACAATATTTTCTTATAACTTTGTTGACAATGTTGGTCGATGGCAAATAGTGTTAGATGTGAAGAAAAATTATTTTTTAAACTGTCCAACGACAATGTTGTCAAAAATATTATACACCAAACATGATTCCATAATATATATTGGGTCAAATATATCCACGGATATATTTGAGTTGTTGAAAAACGCTTGATAAACGTGCACCCACAGACCACCAAGAAACACGCCTTTGGTTTTTTAAATAAATTATTTTATTGAATTAACGAAAGCTTGAGGAGTAATAAAATAAAATATATTTCCAAAAGCAATGGGAGAGGAAGAAGACGACCAAGACCATTGACTTTTGACAAGGACGAAGAAATAAAATGTACAGCTAAAATGGAACTGAACATCAACCTTAAGATTCAAAACCTAAGACCAAATACTCACGCGTTTTCTATTTCTTCATAAAGTAATTTAGTCATTAATTTGGTTCATTTAAAAAAAAATATATATTCTTTTTCATGCAAAATCTACTAAAAATCTGAATTTTATCTAAACCAAATGCGAGTTTAATAGTTTTGTTACATGTTTTCTAATTTGAGAACTAGGGACGAATCTAGAAATTTTTTTAGGACAGATGAATAATAATAATAATAATAATAGTGATTCACACATAATTTTCTTTACTTAACCCTTGTTTGGCCTTCATTAAATTCTATTACATTACATTTTATTTTCCTCTTTTATATTTTTAATTACACAATCCTTTATAAAATTATATTACACGTAAATCGAATTTTTTTCCTTCTTTTTCAACAATTCATTTTTCAAAAAAAATATTATTCCATCCATTTTTATTTTCAAAAAATGGGGGCCAAACGGGGGTTAATTTATTTTTATTTATTTATTTTTTAATTATGAATTGGGTAGGGGGACAAGCTATAGCACAACCCAGTCCCTCTAAATCCGCCAATGTTGAGAACATATAAGTTAGACAAATTATGTTAGGGTCCATTTTACATAACTTTTGAAAAGTCAAAATGAACTTTTGAGGTTTAGAAGTTGTTTTTGGATTCATTTGGCTAGTTTTATAAAAGTATTTGTTTTTGTTATAATACATTTTGAGGAAGTTGATTCAACTTGACTTCCTATAAAAACACTTTTAAAATAGAAAATTTGTTTTAGAAACTAGTTTTCAAATAAAACTAAAGTAATTTTCTCTGAAAATTCTTTTATGGAATGTAAAAGTAAAAATTTAAGTCATGTCAAACGCGGACTACTTTTTACCCCTTTGGCCCCATTTCTCTAAAATTTTATATATTTTTCTCTATTTTTAACTATACATTTCAAAATCTGAAACTTTTCTCAATTTTTCAATAACACATTTCGGGTTGTTTGAGCCTCATTTATATTGAGAGTAGGTTTTTTAATACTAAGTGTTTGGAGAATGTGTAGTTGATAAGTTGAAAAAAAAAAAATTTTGAATTTACGTGTAAAGTGATTATATTTGGAAAATATGAAAATAAGTTTGACAAATAAAATGAGTTTTTATTAAAATGGGATCAAACATGAGCTTCAAAATTCATTAAAAATATAATTTTTATGCTTTATCAAAAACATGAGCTTCAACCCTTTGAATGAAAACAATAGTCCACCTGAAGGATCACACCTTCAACTTTGACTGACATTGATTTGTGGGTCGACTATAAAACTCTGTACAATTCATGGAACATATGCTTCCAGTCTACACGCGTTTATATTTCCCTACCCTACTTCCCTCTTGCCTCGAACCATCCCCCAGTCCGAAAACTCCATAGTCTTAAATGTCATCCTCATGCAGATATTATATATTTATACGTGATTACACCAGATATAGATGCATAGACAGAATTTCAAAGGGTGTGTAAGATGGCTGAGATGACTGGTGCTGGCGGCCAGTATCCGGATTTTCCGGCCGTCGCGACCCACGGCGGAAGATACATAAAGTACAATATCTTCGAAAATTCGTTTGAGATCACTGCAAAGTATCGGCCGCCAATCATGCCCATCGGCCGCGGGGCTTATGGCATCGTGTGGTACGTATTTTTAGTTGATTGGAAATCAACGGTTCTGTTCGTTTCTATTTCACAAATTTTACGCTTTCTTCTGCGTATTAACTCATTATTATTTCAGATATTGTTCCAAATATTTCGATTGAAGTGTGTATAATTGTTTTCTTGTTATATTTTGAAGCTCGATGTTGAATACGGAGAGCAATGAAATTGTGGCAATGAAGAAAATAGGAAATGCTTTTGACAGTTATATTGATGCAAAGAGGACACTTCGAGAAATTAAGCTTCTTCGCCATTTGGATCACGAGAATGTATGTATTTCTTTCAATTAGTAGATTCTAATTTCATAGCTTTGAATTTGGGCCTGAAAATTGGAATCGTAAAAATTCATATCAAGACTTGCTCAGATTTTTTTTTTTTATGAATTCTAATTCCATATGCTGAATTTTATGGTGCAAATGAAGCATCTGTGGACTTGTTCCTTGCTAATCTAATCTGTTGTCTGATTTAGAAAATTTAATTAAATACTGTGACTTGCAAGTTTATTCGTCTTTTTGGGGGAAGGGCATTATGTTATTGGGATAGTCTTTATAAATTTCTTATGAATTAACCTCTATTTATCGAGAATTAAAATCAGATTTTTAGTAAATTTTGATAAAGATTGATAGAATGTCTGGTTGAAATTAATTATTGACTTTGACTTAAATTAAAATACGACTCCGACTAAACAGGGGCTTAGTGATTAAACCTTGAAAATGAACTCAAATAATAAATGAATAAGAAAAAGCCTACTGGATGTCCCCTGAATTTGGAGTTAATGGTAAATGAGGAGGAATTTAAGAAAATTCGTGTTGAATTCTTACTATAATTTTGTCAATATGCATAAGCAGTGAAGTTGGAAAAATAAGGATCGAACTATCCTTTCTGGACTTTACTCGAATGAAATTTAACCATCTGAATTGACAAAATCCACAAGTCATCTCCTTTTCCCATAACTATAAGAATTTTGTTCCTACATCAGGTGCTTACTTTTAGTGTAAAAAGAAGCAATTTGGAATGCTGAAATGTTGAAAATTTTCTGAGTATGACAAAGAGAGTACTAAACTTCCACCTTCTTGAAGTTTAGTTTGTTGTTGATTAAAAGTTACTTGTCACCTGGTGCAAAATTCATTTAAGCTCAAGAAATGTGAAACAGGTGATTAGCATAAGAGATATAGTTCCTCCTCCTTTAAGAACGGAATTCATGGATGTCTACATTGCCACTGAACTCATGGACACGGATCTTCATCAGATAATTAGATCTAATCAAAGCTTGTCTGAAGAACATTGTCAGGTATACTTTTCTTCTTGCGTAATTTGAATGTTGAAAGAGAGCACTGACATTTTCTTTAAAACATGTCTACTTTCAGTATTTCCTGTATCAGATCCTTCGAGGATTGAAATACATACATTCGGCTAATGTTATCCATCGAGATTTGAAGCCCAGCAACCTGCTGCTGAATGCTAATTGCGATCTTAAGATTATCGATTTTGGTCTTGCAAGGCCTACCATGGAAAATGAATTCATGACAGAATATGTTGTAACAAGATGGTACCGGGCACCCGAGCTGTTGCTTAATTCCTCGGAATATACTGCTGCAATAGACGTGTGGTCTGTCGGTTGCATCTACATGGAACTTATGAACCGAAAACCTTTATTCGAGGGAAAAGATCACGTGCATCAAATGCGCTTGGTGACGGAGGTGAATATTTTTATGCTTTTTACCAATTTATAACTGAAATAGATTATTGCTAGATTAACTTATTGAGATAATCACTGAAAATCGAGTTTTCATATAATTAATGAGTGGTTTCTAGTTTTCACAGAAAATTTCTCATGTTGATTACATGTTTTGTAGCTTCTGGGCACTCCCACAGAATCTGATCTTGACTTCATCCTAAATGAGGATGCAAAAAGATATATTCGGCAACTTCCACGACATCCCCGTCAGCTGTTAGCACAGGTTTTCCCACATGTAAATCCATTAGCCATCGACCTGATTGATAAAATGCTGACAGTCAATCCTGGAAGGAGAATTACAGGTAAATTTTTGTTATTGTAGTTTCATTTTTTGCTCTGATATAAAACTTTAATCTATTAGAGAAGAGAACATGATATTATCTAAATTTAGTCTTCAACAGCTAGGATTCATTTCATCGCTTGTTGGCCCCTTTTATACACTTACCTTACTCGCGTATGACAAAATGATTTGTATTTTGTGCAGTTGAAGAAGCTTTGGCGCATCCTTATCTTGCAGGACTGCATGACATAGCTGATGAGCCAGTATGCTCAGACCCATTCTCTTTTGATTTCGAGCAGCAAGTCTTAACAGAAGAGCAGATAAAGGATATGATTTATCAGGAGGCTTTGGCACTAAATCCAGAGTTTGCTTAATATAAACAGTCATCAATCCAATGGAATCTCCACCCAGTAACAGACACAAGATGAATTATTGAACCTTGTGAATTGCTGATCAAATGGTAGTGAGAATTCAAATTAATTTCGTCTGGAATTATATTTATATCTCTGTGGAGAAATGGCTTCTACATTCTAATCGGACAAGGCCTTGACATTTTTTAAGGTTATTGGAGTTCTTTATGTATCTATATGATTTTTCTCTAAGGGCTTGAAACAATGTTTTGTTCTTTTTATTAGATTGAATGTAAATCAGGGATGTAACTTGAGTTCCAAAAGATGCTGTTTAGAAGCATCAAAACCTTCATGGCTTGATATTGACAGAGAATTGGCAGTGTTGAGGCCTTTTAGTGAAATGTGGATATTACAAGATCAATCATGCTCGGTGTACAGAATATTTCGCCCACTTCCATGATAGAATGTCACATAGCATTTTATTATTAGACTTTTCAAAAACATTTAGGGTGTGTTTGATTAGCATGGAAAATATCACCTAGAAAAGAAAATGTTTTCCATCTTTTGTGGAAAATAAAAATCACCTCTACTCAAGGAAAATATTTTCCTTAAAAAAAGGATGTTTTCCATCTTTTGTGGAAAATAAAAATCACCTCTACTCAAGGAAAATATTTTCCTTAAAAAAAGGAAAATTAGGCGTATTTTCAAAAGTTGGAAAATATTTTCCATGAAAAAAATAGCAATCAAACACTCTAAGTAGGAATTTGGATGGAAAACTGATATTTTTCATGGAAAATTAATGTAATCAAACACACCCTTAGTTTTTGCATCCAATTATCTACTATCAACATTGCATCTGTCAAGTAGGTGGGCAAAAAATTCTGTACAAATACCCCCCTATAAATTTGAATCTGCTAAATCTTATGAAATCTTCTTACGAGGCAGAATGCTCTCCACTGAAAGGAGTAAATGATGATTCCCATACAACAAAAGCATCAAAAGAAATTATAGCCAAAATATAACAGGTTTTTATCGAAAAGAATTCAACTAAATTTCCTAGTAGAAATGTTGAGAAGAGACATAGTAGCAGTTTAAACAAGAACTGAGGTTTGATGGCAGCATGGTGGATGTATCATCTAACAAATCAAAAGTTCATTCTCCAATGAATTTCTCAACCATTAAAATAGAACCAACTAACGAGTATGAGTAACCTCCTGGTCTAACCAGGCTTTAATAGGTTTAGGTTATCAAAAAAGCCACAAGGCCAGCGTAAAAACTAGGCCAAAAAACAGAGGCGCCATGAACGGGGGTGCCAAATGGTGCCCCCTATTGGAGGGGCGGCTGTTCTCCAATAGTGGGGGCCGCCATGTAGCACCTCTGTTTTTTGGC